AGTATATATGTAATGACTAAGAACATGAACTTCAAAATCAGCCCAGAGTTTCTTCAACATATTCAGTGATTCCCACATCCTCATCTTTGCTTAGGCTGACCCTTTAGACTGGACTATTTTTCTCCCAACCTCTCACATACTGAAGTTAAACTTTATCTTGAGATGGTATTAAAACACACATAGTAAGTGCATGATGTGTTTTTAATTAAATTGATCTGAAGCAAATAGTTTCTATCTCTCCTTTCTCTATCATGGCTGCTATTGCAGATCTAGTACTAGAAAGTATTGATGAGGTCACAGTGCCTTTTCCTCAAATTAGTCTTAATTAACGAAATCCTATCTAATTATTCATTAATAGTATCCATTTGAGTAATGTCACACTTTTGAACTACACATGATCCTGAACCACTTCTCCAAGATTTCCCACTGATTAATGTTGCCTAGCCAGCTGCTTAGAGGCAATCTATCTTTTTCATTCGATAAATGTTTATTGAACACTTACTATGTCAGGTCCTTGACAAGAGTCAAAGAAAAAGTCACTTTCTCCCAATATGACATCATTTTTATTCCACTACCCTTCTCATCTAGATTCTTTTACCAAAAACAGCTCCCCAATGCAGAAATACCAGTTTTCACTAACTAAACTTGGAGCTTGGAGTCAGATGAGCATTTTAAACTCACAATGAGGAGCAAAGTCATTCTGCTTTGCTCAATATCTCAACATAGATTGGGTTTATGACAACATTATGTCTTGGCAAGTGAGTTCCTGTAGAATCAAAAACGATTTTCTAATAGATTGTGTAATCAAGGAGTTATCCAAACAGAAGGCATTGTTAAGGCAATAAACCAGCAGACCCTGTGGTTTCACACAGTGTATTTACCTGTTCACTTGGACTATATCTACAGAAGCTTACTGGATAGATCTGTCTTTAAACAAATGTCGAATTTCAAATTTGAAACAGATTCCAGGCCTTGGGTGACAAAAGGCTATATAGCTCTTCTGAGATAAGCAGTGCCTGTCTCTTCTCTTTCCTGCTCTTTGCCCCTACCCTCATCCCACTCCTGTTCTCATAGCCAGGGTATTAGGGGAGAGGTTCTTAACGAATAATACTCCAAAGGAGCAATTGCCTCTGAGATGCCTTTTATAGCTTTGGGCTTTGTACCAAGGCTGGGGAATATTTAAGACCTCAGAAATTCCACTTTTGCTCCATGGAGAAGAAAAAAAGAAATTTTTAAGTAAAAGGGCAGCTCTTTCTCATGACTTGCAAACTTAATAGACTATGGTGGGTTAGAAATTGCCATTGAGCCAAAAGAGCATTTTCCAAAGTATATTCTGTAGATGGGTTAATAATTGTGACTGCAAAAAAAAAATTTTTTTTTTGTTTTTCAGAGTCAAACAGGTTTGGAGAATGAAGATTTAAAGTCAAACTAATGCTTTTGGTATAGGAAAATTAGGTACTTTAAAGTGCTAATGTCTATGGTAGATCTCTAAGAAGAATATAGGAAATGCTTAATTTCCTAAACATTTTTGGCCATGGAAACTTTATTTTATGCTGCTTCTCATGGGATTACTGCTATTCTATGGAATACACTTTTGGAAATGCTGATCTATGAGAATAGACACATTATTTTCAGACATTGACATTTCATATTCTTTCCACAAAAAATAAATAAATAAAAATAATGTAACTTTACATGTCAAGGAAATTTGTTCTCCTTAAATGAAGATTATTCTATTCAATCATCATCATTGAATTAGTGATTTAGTCTGTGTGTATTAATAGAAGTGGTTTCCACTGACCAACTCATCCCTGCAACAAAGGAATACAATTTTCTAGAGATGAGATTAGTGATGAGTGCTCATTTGTGGATTCAGAGCAGTGCAGATTCTCTTGTCCCACCCAGTAATTGAACTACTGTCCAAGGTTATTTCATTTACATGTTCTGAATCACACTCCACAATCAAGTTTTTAGATTCCACATTCATCTGGTTTATATATGGGGCTCCCATAAGAGCTATTGTTTTTTTGTTTTGTTTTGTTTTGTTTTTTAAAGGTGGCTAAAAGACATCTTGGAAACCACTCCCCTAGTAACTAGACTGCTGGACAGATCCAGGGGATCAATATCCTTCACATATGGAAGTGTGTTCCTCTCCTAGTCAAGAAGGATTGGCTAAGGAGTCTTTCTATAGACAGGAAAATGGCATAGAGGTGAAGCTCCTTGCCCAAAATAAAAGAAATCATAAAAGTAAATGCAGAAATTAGAATCTCTTGGCTCTCTTAGGGCTCTAATTAGGGCTCTTTAGGAAAAGAATAATGCATGCTGCCTTACCAAATTTTGACCCAACATCATCCCTTTGACTAAGCAACCAACATTTACTGAGCACTTACTGTGTCTCAGATTTCTTTCTAGGTTCTTGGGTGACAAAACTGAATAAGTCCTTCCTGTAGAGAAGGAATAGGGAAAACAACAGGAAGTAAACAAATAAATAATCTAATGTCAAAGTTAAGCTTTGTTCTGGTTTTCTCGGAGTCATCTTCCAGGTATTCCAGATGACTGTCTGATCACAGGCTACCTGTCTCATCTGTACCCAATCCAAATTGAACATTTCCAAATTCCATTTTTATCTCCATTAGCTGCTGTTTGCCTGACTTTGTCCTTTCCTGTTTGGGTGCAGGTTTAACTCCCTAAACCTAAGTCAAAACTGTTCTCCTCAGGGTCATTGAATTCTAAACCTTGCCTATTGGAAATTCCATGTTAGTCTTTCCATGTTAGTCTTTCCCGAGATTCCACCCTGCAATCTATCCATTCTTTAATCATCCATTCAACTAAGCTATAGGTCTCTGTTAGTTCATTTTGGGTTCTCCACGTCTGTCATTCTTTTTAACTTTCTTCATTCTTTTTTTTCTCTTTCCTTGGAAGAATCTTAGCAAAGGTGAATTACTTCATTCTCCATTCTGATTCTACTCTTCTTTGCCATGTTTTTCTCCCTTAAATTCATAAAGACCTGTCTTCCTTCACAGTTCTACTTACATGTTCTTTCTGTCCTCTTCACAGATCACCACGAAATACTTCTCTCAAAGAGAGGCATATCTGCAAAGTACTGTTTAACCCTGGAGAATTATAACTGAACTTTTCTAACTAGAGGCAGGTTTAGCACAGCCCCGATCTGCTATAAAGTTGCACATGAGAAATTTGTTATAGTTCAAAATAATGCAAGATTATTTAAAATTATTGACCTCTCCACTTAATAGGAAAAAGGAAAGGACTTTGTTTCTTGACTAAACCCCTCTGTCATTTCCAAATGTTCACTCTCAGATCCATGTTCATACTATTTTCATTCCCCTTAGTTGTTCATGGTACAATCGTAAAAGCAGTGTGTAGGGCTTTGAAACCATGGGGCTCTCCTTTCCTACAGCAAAATGACTGTGCAGCCTCATTCACCTTCAGCGGGACAATTCTCCCACAGCCTCTCATGTTCCCCATGGTAATGATACTGTTGAGCCAAAACCTAGCAACTCATACTTTATAAAATATCAAATGACATCAAATATATTACATAGATAGAAAAAGCCAATTAACTGCCTAATCACCCCATATTCACCTTCATAGAGAAACTGACTTCTCACTGAGCTTAGCCCTTACATTTGAAATTAATGAGTAGGACTTTCATCTGAAGAAGAGATCTGGCTTTTAATTCTGGCGCCTATAATGTTCCACACATCCTGCTTCTCTCAGAGGCTAAATCATAGGACCACCATAAGCAGCAGACCTTTAGAAATTCAATGTATGTCTATAATTTCCTTCTTAAAAAAAAAAGCAGGATCTAGTTAAGAAAAGCTGTGTTAATTTCATGAGTACACATAATACATTTCAAAAGTCCTACCTTTCATTCCAGAAATAGGACTCATCTGATACTCAGGTAGTAATATTTTCCATTAAGGGAGAGGGCAAATTAAAAGGTCCTTCTCTTTCCCTTACTTCCCTTCCTGAATCTCTTCACTATCCATCCTTGTACCCATGCTAGCAAGCTGGGAGAAAACTTTAATTTCTCCTTCTTCATTTTCTGATATATAGTACTGATATAGAAATGGAATACAACTTACTCTTTTGGGAGCAAATATATCAGGCAAACAATGTAAATGCTAACTTATACCTAGCAGAATACATTAAGTATAAGACATATGATGCAATCGTAACCACTCACCCTTAGGTGAAATCGTTTCACACAAATCCCACTGATGTAAAAAATACATATATATTTTAAATTTTTCTCTCTTTTATTATCTTTCCTTGGGTAAAATTATCTGCACAGTCATGAAAAACTGTTATTTGTGACACAGCAGCATGTTTCTGACTATTATATGCTTTTGAGAAGGAATGGTGAGCCGTTAGGTGACATACTCGATCCTTGCTATTGAAGAAATTTATTCTTAGTCCCAACTTGAAACTTGTAGAAAATTTTGTAGGAAAGAAAAATACTCAAGGCTCTAAATAAGACTACTTAAATCAAAGTTGGCCTTAAATTACCTAGAGGGCATGACTAACGGTCCTTTACAAATCATAGGTTGTATTTGTTCATGTCCAATGAAGTGATTTCTTTGTGGATGTTTCCATTGAAATTTTCAGCAGTTTTACTGATGCCGCGGGTTAACGGAAGTCCACACTGGTTGCTCTTGATTTCTCTGAATCCTTTGTTTTGGTCCTGATATGTAAATGTGGCTCCAGAATTTCTTAATAGGAGGACTTTCAACAACAACCAGACACCGGTCATTCCCGGCAGAAAGGAAAGGAGTGGAACATGCAACTGCATTTGCATCACCGGCATATTGCTTCCATACATGAATTTTATGCAGGGTGTCTTGGGACATGATCCTCTCCAAGTCAAATAGAAAAAAGAAATTGATTATAGTCAATATGAAAGCTATGTTTATTAATGTAAATGTCTTTTTTACTTTATATTTTTCTAGGACTTAGAAGATCATCTACAAAAACCAAAAATGAAGTTCACACTCACACGCCGGTGCTTGGTACTCTTCATCTTTCTAAATGTAAGTAAAACATCATTTAAGCTACGTTAATGAAGAATGCTGAAATAGAGCGTACGATTGAATGGACATTTGCAAGGGTAGACATCTTGCCAAAGCTAAGTTTCACCAGCCAAAAGTTCCTCAAAACTATTATTTTCTTGATATTTTGCTAATAGATCCCCACTCCGAAATTTCACAATTTAGATTACTGTTATGGTTCACTGAGAAATGTGAGCTTTGTTTACAAAAATTTAGCATTAACATGAGACATCTCCACATTATCTTGCAATTTAACATGGAAGGTTAATAATGTTCTTGGGTAAAATGTTTTTGATGTTAGACAGGTGGATTTGAAACACAGTTTCTGGGCTCCTGTCTTTTTCAAACATCTGAACTCTTTCGGTCAGGTTATTGATTTTAAATGCGTCTCTCAAAAAAACTGACTAAGAATCTTAAGTCTTAACAGACCAATGTCACTCCATAACTCTTTCTCTAACCTTTTAAATCATGTCCAAGTTATGTGATTTTATATTGTTTTATTCCTAAATGGTTAGCAAGTAGTCAGAACTGCAATTATCTTAGAAAATACTACCAGGGCCTATCTATTTATTTGTTTTGATTTTGCTAACCCACCATCATATCAGCTTCCACAACACATGAAAGAGAGATGAGTAAATTTTACATAAATAAATTAGGAGTTGTCTTGATCCTTATCCTTTCTAGCACATCAGAACAACATTGGCCAATGAATCATAGAGGCAATAAAAATAAGTCAGTACCTGATATTATTATATTCACCCAAACAAAACTTTCCCAGGGTTCCAGGATTTACATTGTTAATTCATGAGTAGTCATAGGCTTACAAGTTTGCATAAACTGTTTCTCTTAACATTATTCATGGAAAAATATTACTAATATTCCAAAAATGTTCCTCTCATTTTTACGGGAATTTTTATTTTGTAATGTTATACATCAAATAAGTGGTTTATGGTTATGATTGTTAATGTAGCCCTCTTGTATCTACTTGGATATTGAGTATAGTTTATTATGTAATATTGTATTATTTTAATCTTTAGATAAAATACAGTATAATTTGCTAAAAGTAATCCAATATTTGGAAATGCAAGTAACTTCATGTCATTGTAAATATAATAAAAACACTTAAACAAGAATATTGTAGGAACTACTAGCATATTTTATTTTGTCTCTAAATGCTCAAGCCTTATATGAGATTCTATAGTACAGAAATAGTGGTATATTCCATTCGTAATTGATATTGTTATCTTTAGAGCTTAAATTAAATTCTGTGTGATCAATTACATGTAAATATTTCTAAATAATTTTATTTCATAAACCATATAATTATATTAGACAGTGACAGAAGAACAGTTCTAGAGTAGTTACTAAGTTACTAAAGTAACTTACTAGATATGAATAAGACAGTTTGAGTACTACCAGAAAGACTACAGATCATTTCTGATGTGTTAAAAAACTAAAGTAGATCAATTCTATTCAAAACTTTTACCCAATATATCTTAAAATTCAGACATTAGAAGAATATCATATATTTGAGCCACGGGCAGAAATGTCTTCTGGTTTGTGGGCATCTCTTTGCTAGCAAACATACTGCACAGGACACTTTTTTTTTTAAAGATTTTATTTATTTATTTGACAGAGAGAGACACAGCGAGAGAGGGAACACAAGCAAGGAGAGTGAGAGAGGGAGAAGCAGGCTTCCCGCTGAGCAGGAGCCCGATGCGGGGCTCGATCTCAGGACCCTGGGATCATGACCTGAGCCAAAGGCAGACGCTTAACAACCGAGCCACCCAGGCACCCCTGCACAGGACACTTGAGTGGCTTTGTGCTCTCTGCTGTGACAAACAGAAATTTGCTTCTCTACCCTGTATTTGGATCATGTATTTGATTTGGAGAATTTTTCCATAAAAAAGTTTTGATAATTATCTCAGTTTCCTTCTAAAACATTCATTGTGTTCCACATGGATACTCCTCCAAGAAAATTAAATTTTTTAAAAAAGTGATATTGATTTTAATTACTATAAAGTATTACTTCTTAAATACATTAGTGTGAAAAACCACTATGAGTATATTTGTTGAATTCTATGAAATTGATTTCCAAATGCTCTTTAAAGTATCAGTTTGTCACCACATTCCATGAGTCTCAATTTACATTAAGCAAAACCACCCACTCACTTCCTCTCCCTTATCTGCAGTAATGCAATAGGCTTAGAACAGTGCTTGACACATAGTGAGCACTCAAAAATGTAGTGATGATGATGATAATTATAACAACAATGATGAGGACCTAGAAAAACTAGATTCTTCTGAGAAGCATTTTGTTGTTAACTAAGCTGTATTCCTTCATTTGCTTAGAATTTATCATCATGCAGCAGTTTTGTTGTTTATGTAATGCTTAAGTAGGAAGTACGTAGGACACCAACCATCTAATCCTACCTGGAAGAACCAGGGTTAACAGTCTACAAAGTTCTATTTTATCCATTGCTATTTTGAAAAGTATAAGTAACTGAAACATACAAATAATTCCAACATCTACATTGTCAATATTAAGGATGGTGACATCGAAATCCTGTTGGTTATATCAGTTTGTGGATTCTAGAATCATGTTCCTTTTAGAGTAGTTCTGTCTCTGGCAATCATTAAGAATCTTTCCCGTCAACACTGTAGCGTGGGTTCCCACATTCATTAGGTTTAAACCATGGCAGAGATGGGCCATTTCTTAAAGGTCTACACAGAACAGTCCTGTAATTATTTTGTCTCTGTGCTTCTAGAAACCGCCTGGATCCCAAAAGTAGGCTGGTTGTCTTACATCAAAGTAGGAACTGCTTGACTGCATGACCATTCAAACCAGATTGCTTTCCACTGGACTCCATGATTAGTGTGCACGAAACCTAGAATGTAAGCCCCATGAGGGCAGGGACCTTACCAGTCTTGTTCACTGCTGAGTCTCCAGTACCTAGAACAGTACCTGGCATGTGGGAAGCAAAGTGTCTTTTTTTTTTTTTTTAAGATTTATTTATTTGAGAGAGTGAGAATGAGAGAGAGAGTACACAAGAGGGGGGAGGGTTAGAGGGAGAAGCAGACCCCCCGCCGAGCAGGGAGCCCGATGCGGGACTCGATCCCGGGACTCCAGGATCACGACCTGAGCCGAAGGCAGTCGCCTAACCAACTGAGCCACCCAGGCGCCCTGGGAAGCAAAGTATCTATTACCCGAAAGAACCAGCGGTGTTTCAGCTGAGGACTACAGGTGTGGGTGGCAGCTGGGTGGTCGTATGTGTGGCGCCATTTACTTGCACCTTTGGGAGTGACATCACATATACGGCGGCTAAACTGCTACATAGGACAACAATTAAGAGGTTGTTTTTTTGCTTCGCTTTGGAAAAATCATGTTAAGATGGCTTGTATGCAAATCTTTGAACACCAGTCTTTATCCACAAAGCAGTGTGCCCTTAATAGCTCATCTCTATCCTCATGTGAGCATAAAATATTTATTTATGCCCCCAAATATATAATATAAACATAATACGATAAGTAAAATATGTTTAAGTCTTTCACATTGCTTGGTAGTCTTATCTAATCACTAGGCTTCTATTTTGTCTCTATATTGCTGAAAACTACACTACCTCCTAGCCATTTTTATTGGTACAAAATCATCAGCAAAAAGTTTATGTGTCCAATGAACTTTATGAAATTTTTATATGTGTTATTGTCAAGCAGTAGTAATTCCATTGTTGGAATTATATATATATATATATATATATATATAATAGTTATCTGTCTATGCCCACATACATAGACAGAATGCCTCAATGTGTATGTTATTTTCAGAAGAAAATCACTGAAACATTCAGTTACCACTGGAAAAATTCCATCGTCAGTGCTCACACACGAACCAGACAAGGAGCGGACTCAGATCACTATGGCTCATCTACGACAGAAGTTCTAATTTCTCATTCCTTCAGTGTTGAAACAATCTCTATTGAACCAGGCTCCAAACCAAGTTCACTGGAGTTTGTTTCAATATTGCAAGAATGATAAGATTGATGCTACTATCGTCTACGTGAACTACACCTGCTCTTTCAAATGGTCATATCTATACTGTTACTGATGTTAAAACTGCATTAAAACAAATAATGCTGTAATTGAAAAATACAAGCACAGGGTTTTCCTCTTGATATCCTTGCACATAATGCCTCCCCATGGCTTCCAGGAACATTTCTTAACTGGTTGCCCAGTCAATTTAAAGATAGAATTCAGAATATTACTTCTGGAAGGAATGCCAAACTTAAAATAGTCCCTAATATCTAAAATATAAATATTTATATATGACATCACATTCCATCTTCTAATTTGATTTGAATGTGGTGAGAAAATGGCCCATAAATAAATTATATGAAATGGTAATTCTCGTGTCAATGAAAGATTCTAAGAATAGAGCCACAAAGAATCTAAAATAGATGCACAGGGTTAACCTATAATTAATATCTCTTATTGTGAGGACACAATGATCTATTAAAGACCATGGTTATGTGATCTCTAGTGAGATTATTAACACACACACAGACACGTGCTTTCATACAAATGTAGGCTCATACAATCCAAAATGAAGCCTTAACATGAAATTGCTTCAAAATATGTATTTTTTACTCACAAACCACATTCCAATTCCTGAAGGAGTATCTGAGCATTCAGTGATTGATGATTCTTTACCGTTCACAATTTCTGGTGTCAGAAAATATTTTATAATGTTGGTCTTTCTTGCTAGTCTGTAAGCTCCTGGAGGGCAGGATCTATGTGTGTTTTATTCAGCACTGTATCCTCAGTTTCTAGCATAATGCTTGACTTACTAGCGAATAATAACTATTTGCCAACTGATTGGTCTTGAAATGAGTAAGAAAGGGTCATATGACAACAGAATGATGTTCAACTACATGGGTAAAGGATTTGTACATTTTAAATAATTTCTGTCAGTACATTAATTTCTCTTTTCATTGTCATACATCCAAGAGGCATTAAAATTAGAAATAATCCTAATATTCAAAGAGTAGTATCAGCCATCTTCACAGTATCCATCTGGAATTATAAGTAGTAAGTATTCACCCTCTTCTGTTTGCAAGCAATTTCTACTTAGACGGCTTGCTGACACCTTCAAAACAAGTACAAAAGAGAACTTACCTTCTTCCCCCAGTAAGGTTTCCCTTTCCCAACTTCTCCCTTCTCAGGGCACTCCCATTTTTTCCATTATGTAGGTTAAAATATCAGAGCTGTTTGACTCTTAACTGTTCTCCTTTCCGTATATTCCAAATACATCTTTTTGTTATTTGAGAAAGTGCTGAGGGCTGTACTTCCCTGCTCCCTCCTGTGGTGGTCTAGTCCCTGCCTTGGGCTTCCTGGCTCCCTCCCCAGCTCTGATCTGTGCACATCTGAAGCCCACCACATGAATTTTACTAACACTCTCCTTTCGCAGCCTTCACTGATCAAAAACCTGCATGACATCTTTATTTTATTGTCATGTTGTAATAACATTAGCTAAAATGTATTGAGCCTTTCATTGCACCGCACACTTTGTATTCATTTTCTCAGGGCTCTGTGTTATCTGATCTTCCTTGACTCCATTTCTTACTAACCCCCAAAGATACTCCCCTCCAGGAAGGATGGTTTCCTAACAGTGACTCACACATGCCATTTTCTACCTCTAGGACTTAGACGCATTCCTTTCCTTCCATCCAGAAAGCCTTCCCTCTCCTCCCTGTGCAGGCACTCAAAGTCCAATTCCAGTTCTACCTTGTGTCTGTAGTCATCCCTGACTGATCTTGTTCCATGCCCTCTGTCTGTTCTGAATTGTTGTTGTATTATGCATTGCACAGTTTAGCTTTTAGCACCATGCTATCTTATAGGACAGGACGCCCTGTCTACACAATGACATACGCTGGAAAACAGTGCAGTCCTACTATGAGTAGCCTGATGTATACAGTCCAACTTAATAAAAATGAGTTTGTTTTAGAGACTGTGAGGCATAGAGAAAAGTACATAACACTATTTCTGCCATCGATACATTTGGGGAAACTTTAATCTTAGAATAATTTAGACAGAATAAGGCCAAATAAAAAGTGTGTTTAACAGGTGTGATAGAAAGAGAGCAAGGAGTGTTCTAACTTCAGAAGAAGAAAAGTCAGTGCAGGCTGAAGCTTGCAGTCTTCTCTGAAAAAAGTCTCTATGCAGAACATGGATATAGAAAATCACGGATTCAGGCACCACCAAAAACATCATGGCCACAAAAGAGATTGAAATCTATGTAAACACAACTTAGGATGATGTGGTAGACGGTGATCATGACCAATGTCAGCCTGTACCAAAAATGCAGAAGCGCTAGGAGAAATATTTAAGATTTACATTGATTTTCAGCATTGAAAATAAATAACCCTGTGTAGGTCATCAGCTGATGAAGCCAATTTAAACATATTAAGGCCGATCATCCAATGCAGAATATCTCAGAAGAACAGATTTTGTTTGTTCTATGGAATAACTGGGGTGAAATTTTGTCAGTGTACATAATCTAAGCACAAATTTTTAAAAAGCTGAAATAATCTAATATAAAAGCTCATTTATTGCACTAATATATCTATTTTTAATAGCATGACTCATGATTATTAGAGGTTCCAAAGAAGGCAAAATTGATTTAATATTAGTATTTTTTTTTGGAAATCAGTTACTTGTTTTGTTTACTTCTAAACTTTACAGTGATAATAAAATTAAAACAATCTTATATGATAAAGAGGTACATGAGTTTGGGTGGGCACTATACATTTTCAGTAGTGAATGGGATGAATGCAAATATGAAATTTGTAGGTAGAATTTGTAGATGAAATATAAATATACTTTTTAGTTATGAAGAAAAACATCCTACATGGAGACCATTCGTAATTGTTGCTCATGAAGGAAAATGTTTTCAAACTTTTTGATTGTTTCATTTATTTCTGTATACACCCATTCCCACTCTGTATAAGTAACTGATTTTTCTTTTTAACGCAGCACCCAACCCCGATTCTTCCTGCCACTTCAAATAACACCTATCCTCCCAATATGGAGTCCGAGCCATTTCTGTACGTCCTAGGACGAAAGAAAATGTCGGATGCACAGTACAAATGCTATGACCGCATGCAGCAGTTACCCTCATACCAAGGAGAAGGTAAAAAGAAGGATGTATGCAAATATGTGTTTCAAATATCATTAAAGGCTTATTTCCTTCCATGGATAAATACGTGTTGACTAATTTTAATATGCCAGCATTTTTAACAGTGGTTTTCAAATTATGGTATGTTTGTGTATTTCATGCTGGAGACATGCCTACTTTCTTTGCCTAAGTTCACCCAACTGGTTTTGGACTAACAGCTGCACCTATGACAAAATTACTACAATAACTCAGTAGTCACACCTGGCAAAGAGGAACAATACAGGGCTAAGTGATGGAGAGGAACTGGAAAATGACAGGAAGGGAAGTGGAAAATAGAGGGCAGAGAATTAGCCTCAGGTGAATCCTGTCAAAACCCTGTCTTGCTTGGGTTAATTAGGCAGTATCTTCCCTTAACTGTCAATGGGTTGGCAACTCCTGCTATTCCTTCCTCTTTTCTATCCCCAGTTCCCAGAGGAATTAATACAGGCTCTCTCCTAGGCAGGCATTGTTTATCTATCACCTTCTCTAGAATGCTCTATGTGACTGTACAAATATTTTCAGGGCCAAGCACATTCTCTTAGCTATAGAAGGCTATGAGATGGCCAAACATTACTACATCCATTTCAGTTCTCTCCCCTGTCCCCTAAAGCATTTGAAAAGTCCCAACAAGATCATGTACACCCTTGTATATTCTAAGATAACACTGCTTGGTAGGGTGGAATATCGTTTAAGTATATTCTGTTTCTACGCATGGTTTGCCTTCAAATTGTTAAAAGTTTTAATTTCTAGTTCCTATTTTTAGCATTTTCCTTTAAACAAAACTCAAGACAATTAAAAGACAGATACATGTTATTCTTCCGTCTGCAGTAGTTTCAGTGTTTTTTAAGAACCTGAAAAGTCATTAGATGCAGCTCTGCCCAAAGACAAACCATTCCTCTGAAGCAAATGAAACTATTTTCAGAGACCAAGTGAGAACAGCCTCCTTCACTTCAGTCTTAATCAGAGGTTGAACTTTCGTACTATGATCAGTATTTTAAGATTTCTTTTTTATTTTCTTTTTCTTTTTTTAATCTTTTTTCTCTTTTCTATTCTATTCTTTTCTTTCTTCTCTCTTTCTTCTTTTTCTTTTTTTTCTTTTCTTTCTTTTTCTTTCTTTCTTTTCCTTCCTTCCTTCCTTCCTTCCTTCCTTCCTTCCTTCCTTCCTTCCTTCCTTCTTTCCTTCCTTTCTTAGAACTGACTTCAAAGCCTGAGGCTTATTCTTTTGAGTAGCTTTATAGAGGCAAATCTTCATGTTTTAGGGTAAATTAAATTTTGAAAGGAGGGAGAAACTACTTGGAGCCAATGCTGATAAATACATAAACTGCTCAAACTGAGCATTATTTTAGCCACTAATGAAGTGTGATTCTAAAATAATAAGACTAGTTTTATACGTAATCTATTAACTGTCTACAAATGCATCTCCAATAGGAATTTTGAACAATTGAATCTTAAACCCTTGGATTAAGAATAGAATTATCCTAGGGACGCCTGGATGGCTCAGTCCATTAAGCATCTGATTCTTGATTTCTGCTCATGTCATGATCTCAGGGTCGTGGGATTAAGCCCCGAGTCAGGCTCCGCACTCAGCAGGGGTTCTGCTTGAGGATTTTCTCTCTCCCTCTCCCTCTGCCCCTCCCCCTGCTCTTGTGGGTGTGTGTTCTCTCTCTCTCTCTCGCAAATAAATAAAATAATCTTAAAAAAAAAAAAAAGAATAGGGCGCCTGGGTGGCTCAGATGGTTAAGCGTCTGCCTTCGGCTCAGGTCATGGTCTCAGGGTCCTGGGATCGAGTCCCGCATCGGGCTCCCTGCTCCTTGGGAGCCTGCTTCTCCCTCTGCCTCTCTCTCTCTCTCTCTCTGTCTCTCATGAATAAATAAATAAAATCTTTAAAAAAAAAAAAAAAGAATAGAGCCATCCAAGGCAACCTTTTTTAAGGTTAATGGTTAGTAGGCTGTATATGTTCTAAAGCTATATAGTTTTTTTCAAAGTAAGCCTCTTATCCAGGGGTGATATTGCATATATTTTCACAAGATTTCTTTGCAGCATTTCTGGAGATATTTTAAAGGAAAGATTTTGGAGGAAAGATTCCATACAGATGACATGTGTGTCTTTTGAAGAGCAAATGGAGAAAACCCTATAAAAATGTAAATTTGATTAAAATCTTTGTTTTGTTGCTGCGGCTGTTCTTTTTCATATTTCCATATGCATGTAGAGCATTCCAGAATAACTATTAAATAGTTAGGTCCTATTGAACACTGTTAAATCCTGCTGATGACTCTGCAGCTTTTTCCAACTTTTTCCAATTTCTTTGTGAATCATCAGGTCCATATTGCAACCGCACGTGGGATGGATGGCTGTGCTGGGATGATACACCAGCTGGAGTACTGTCCCATCAGTACTGCCCAGATTATTTTCCAGACTTTGATCCAACAGGTAAAATATTTCTTTTTATTTCATATTTGGCTATGAAGCTTTTAGAATTTTCATGATTCTGAAAAAAAAAATCAGATATAAAAGATACCTATCTAATCATACTCTACATGTTTCAGCACTTTCTGAAGCATTTCCTTACTTGAAATATCACTGAGTTGTACAAATATTTCAAGCTCTCCTTATTTTGTAGGTCACGTTACTGGTCAGATGAGCACATTGGTCTTTAATTCTAAATGAAAGTTAAATTTTTATATATTTTAAATATTTAATATTAAATTTTAATAAAATTTTAAATTAATTTTTTTTAACTCTGTGAAGTTTTACTTAAATGTGGTTATCTTTCAGTTCTCAACTGTCGCACATTTGGTGGCTTATGCAAATACTTGATCTAGACTTTGGGTATACAGGACTGATAGAGCACACACAACGGAAATTTTATATAACACTGAAAGTTATATAAAACTGTCATGTGTAAGGGAAACTAAATCAGAAAATGGTAACTCTAGACACTTGCTAGATTTCTGTTCCAACAGTAGATTATTAATATATGTTCAGTAAATAAGACTAATGAAGTTACAATGAATGGATCATACTAACATCCAGCTCCATGCCCTGCACAACACAAGCAGTCAACAAATGTGTGTTAAGTAAGTAAGTGACACCAAATTCATTTTAGCTATAAAAGTAACATAGGAGTACTTCTCATTGAGTATCATTTTTTACTTTTTAAAACATTTTCATATATATTATCTAAATTTATATACTCACACAATATTTGACACAAAATTGCAAGTGAACAAAGTCTCCTGAGCTCTTACCTAACCCTCTCTTTATAAGTAAGTGCAACAGTCTTGGAAAAGCATTTGAGAAACAGTACTTCTAAATCCCCATACACACTTGTGCAGATTGAAGTACTTTTAGAACCTCCTAGGGAAGACATGTTTTTCCTTCAGGCCTCAATCTAGCCACACTGGTATAATTGGAAGTTGGATCAGGATGCATAGGCAGGATAAAGGTCTAGGAGTACCAGCTACCAAGTGGAGTAAGTAAGAAGCAAGGGGGCTGATGGGATGTATCTCAGAAACATCAGCTATCCAAAAAGATTAGAGGTCTGGAATCCAAGATGCCCAGTGGCTAGTGGTCAGGAGCAATGCAAGGAATGTGTAAAGAGATAAAATTTGTTTGTATAACAGCCTCAATCCAGAGACTAGACACATGGGGATCAGGGGATGGATTTGGATAGGTGTTAGTAGTGACTGATTCTCAATTTGGCTAAGAATCTTGGAAACTTAACAAAATCCTGATGCCTGGTACCACCCCAGACATTCTGAATTAGTTTGGAGTATAACCTGGGCACGAGGATCTTTTAAAGTTCTGCTTGTGACAAAATGTGCAGCCAAGATGAAAATGTCTTAAATAATAAAGAAAGTCCAGATAGGAAAGTGGCGGATACCAGAAAAGCTCAACCAATACACTGAGTAGCTGCGGCGGTGGGAGGTGGAGCGCAGAATCAGATGAGACTGATACAGTGGAGGAAGGCGGGTACCAGAGGGGTAAAAAGCAGTAGCCAGCCAGCTTCAGGGACTATAGGTGTTGGGTCCAGAAAAACTCTGTTCCAAGAAACTAGATAGAAAATCTGTCCCATTGAAATATTAACTGAGATTAAGAGACTGAAAAGGGACTATACATCTTAGTTATAAAAGAGACCCAGGGGGCACCTCGGTGGCTTAGTCAGCTAGGCGTCTGCCTTCGGCTTGGGTTGTGGTCCCAGGGTCCTGGGATCGAGCCCCGCATCGGGCTCCCTGCTCGGCGGGAAGCCTGCTTCTCCCTCTCCCACTCCCCCTGCTTGTGTTCCCTCTCTCGCTGTGTCTCTCTCTGTCAAATAAATAAATAAAATCTTAAAAAAAAAAAAAAAAGAGAGACTCAGATGCTGAACCTAAGCTACAGGCACACCGCTTAAGCCCCAGTTAACAGGTGAGCTTTGTTCCTGAGAGTAGAGTGAGCCTGAGGCTGCAGAGCGTGTTTAAGTTGCTCCAGATGTGGAACTGGCTGGCTGTGGGGCAGGGCTCCATGAAGCTGGTCCTTCCACCTCAAGCTCCAGACCTCGTCTGATGGGATGTGATATAACAGAACACAGTAATCCCTCCACACCTCACAGTGCTCATCTTTCTCTTTCCTTCAGTATCCTTTTGGAAGTGGTTCCATGGAAGAGAGTTAGAACATTCAGTCAGTGGAAGGGAATGCCAAGGTCCTGAAAGAAGGATCTTCATTGCATTATCTGGTCTTGACTAGAAATAGCATTTTGAAAAGAGGAATCAGTGTTTGTTTCATGCATAAGAAATGATGAAAAACAACCTTGCCTTTCAGATTTTTCCAAGAGTTGTTTGGTCAGAGTTTCTACCACATTTTGGGGTCAACCAGCCCATCTGTTTACCTTTGCTCACTGAGTATGAATGACAAGAGGTTACTTTGCATAGACCAAAAGTGAGAACATCAGTTAAGATAGAAAAACGATCATCAAATGGTAAAATCTAGGCAAGAAAGTTTCTGGAATCCAGATTAGAGCAGAGAAATCAGTCTATCCTTGTGTCAGTGTTTAAGATGCTTTGGTGCTTCCAACAAGGATGAGATCCAAAGTTCCACCCCAGTAAAACAGAGATAATGAAAATGAGATTACAGGGGACTACTTTAAAAACCAGTTTGGGCAGCCACTTCTGAAAATTTTCATTGTGCAAAGAGGAAGGTCTGAGTGTCCTGCCCTGCTCAGCACTACTTTCCTGTAAACTCTAACTCAGTGCTGTGTGATGATCATCTTTCTGGCTTTTATTGACTCTTCCCAATAAATGATGCTTCATTCATCTTGACTTGACAACTACATTAGAGATAACTTGATTGGCATAAAGAGCTTTTCTACAACAGAGGCTACAAGGCCATTCCAGAGCAGCAATGGGCTCTTGCCAAAGTGGCTGTAATTATTGACTAAAAGGCAAGGTTTTGGTCAGCAAAACAGGGATTTCCAGGCATAGATCCATCTTATCAGCCTGGTGTTTAGAAAGAACCTTCTCAAGTGGGGGACAAATCCACTTCAAAAGAAAAGCACATCTTAAAAATATCTATATTCAACAAACTTAAATTCGTTGGGATTTTACCATTGACCCAGTGCTATATTTTAATGATAAAACAGTTTAATGAAATGACAGAGATTTCATTTTAGACGAAGTGTTTGGTAAAAGACAGGTCATGATAGAGTGAATAACAGCATTGAAATTCAAAAGAGGCTGGTAGCCTGTAGGAATATGATAGAATGTAAAAAGCACATTTAACAAGGATGTACTTAAGGCTCTGCCCTTAATGTCAAACAATCAACATTAATGGCACAGAGCCAAGAAGGTCAACATATGGTTTAGGACCATGATTCTCAACCCTGATAGCCTTTGGAATTGGTGAGCTTTTTTAAAATGTTGATGCCTGGTTACCTCTTCAGATAAGCAAATTTGAATCTCTGGGGTTCAGGCCTCAGAATTTGTAAAAAGCTCCCCCATGTGGATCTGGAGTGAAATAAGCATGCTGTCCTCTTCATGGGGCAGTCCGAACTTAGAATACTTCAGAGGGAAATACCAAAATGGAGCACATGCAGAGTGGCTCTAGGTTGTGAAGGGACACCAAGCTGTGTAGTGTGAGTAAATGGGGATGTCTGGTTTGGAAAAGGAAGTTAGACCTATCCTTTCTTCGAATTTTGAAAGATTTGCCAGGTGGAGGAGGACAAGTTCTTATAGCCGCAATGGGTAGAACCAGGAAATGCCTAGACCCAGACTTTAGTGACATCGGAACAAAATAATATCTCCTACAGTCTTGTCCGTGATTGGAATGGATTTTTTCAGGAGGAACACCCCTTCCTCCTCCATAGAATATATTTTGCCTTATATAGCTAAATAACTTTGTTTAAAACTTCCTTTTGATAAAATAATAAGCTACTTTCTGACAATAGAAGATAAAATGCTTCGTTACAAACCACTTCTTTAAAATAGCAAATAAACTTGGAATGGTCATCATCGACATCAATATCAGTTTTTCTATGCTGATTAGTGCTAACCCTTTTTGAAATATTGTTGGTGTCCAATGGTGATTTGTTAAATAGTTTTTGTCCAGTGACTGTCTCAGCAAATTCACAATTTAAAATTTTTCTATTTAACTTTCTAACAAATTGACATTAAGCAATGATGATTCTAATAGGTTTCTTGAAAACATCTCTTGCTTGAAAAATGTGTTTTTTCAGCCACTTGAAATAATTGTTGGAGTACATACAGGCAAATCTACAATTTTTAGTTTGAATCTTGTGTTTAGTTTGGTAGTACCTGTTTCAGTCATACAATAAAAAATTTTGAATTACACTTAAAAACTGCCAAAGATAAAAGAATTTTCATACTAGCCATTAGCATATTGATTGACTAACCAGAACTACTGATAGAAAATTATTTTAAATATTATCAGACCTCAGTGATATTTCAGACAAGTTTTTTTACATGAATTGTTTTCTTAGCCTTTAAAACAATAATAGTAGCCTCCAAATATTAGTATGTGATTCAGACTTCCACATTTCTGCTAAAACAAATAAACAAACAAAAAAAACCCCCCAGAAGTCAGACATAAAAGGGTTATCCATTGGTGTGACAGCTCTTTACCTTTGCCAATGAAGAAAAATGCTTCAAAAATATTTTTCCCAAAAAATTATCAAAATTCAAAAATTTTTGAGGGTTCCAAATACACTGGTAAAATCTGTTTGCATATTATGCCAATTTGGGGTTACTATATGATCTCTGAGGCAATAAACACATTGCAGAGGTACTTTGGAGAACTAGGGAAAGTCTGAATAACTCAGATTAAATTTGGCAAGTGCATTCATTTTAACGTTCACTTGTTCATTATTTCTATTTTATTTTATTTAATTCAATTTTTTTTCTTCCAATTGTGTAGCCAATCAGATTCGAATTTTAATACTATCTTGCAGTCAACCAAATTAGTTATGATTCTTTGGGTCACTGAATGAAGTGTAGATAACTTTGCCGCAGGACTATGAAGCTTCATACGGAGCTTAGTAGCCCCGCAATAGCTTTGGAATCAAATAGACTAGACCTGGATTTGACCCCTGGCCTTTCTACTTGCTATCTGTGGAAGGGGAATTCACTTAACTTCTCTGACCCTCAGTTCCCTCATATGTACGATGGGAAGACCAATACCCATCTTAAAGGGCCATTATTCACGTCGAAGAAGACGATTCTGCAAAGTGCTTAGCACAACACCCGGCCCATAGCAAAGTAGAGATCTTTAATATGCCAATCCAGCCAAATCAGCAAATTTCACTATCACCTAAGAGTTGATTCAAGAAGTAAATGGTGAAGGCTAAATCTATAAATCCCTAATATGCCCTCTGTGGGATCAAGAGAAATGATTCAAATGAAATCTTCTTGAGAAGCATAAAAATGATTCCTTGATACATCCTTTAGTTTAGGACTTCTTTGTTTTATTGGACTTAACTATATGAAATTGCCAGTATTTGACCATCTGACCCACAAAAACTGCAGTTTCATACAGTCAACCTAATAAATATATATTGCATATAAATGAAGAAAAGTATGGTCTTGCCATTTTCACATAGTTCCTCTCTAAAATCAGAAACGTAAGGTTTGTTAAAAAATAGGAGGCACGGTATAGGTAGCACTTTTTAGTGCGATGGACCCGATATTAAATCCCAGCTGACCCACTCTCTAGTGACTTCGAACTCTATAGCCTCTCTCACTCCCTGCTTCCTGCATATAAAGTGGAGATAGCAACATCGGCTTTACATGGCTTTGCTGAAGATAAAATGAGACAACACATACTAAAACATCTTATAAAATGCATGATTCAGGGTAGTTTCCTTTGACCTATATTCACATTCAAGTTCTACAAAGTGATTAACTCTGTGGAATGGCTTTTAATAAAGCTTTATTTTTCCTTCTTGGTATTTTGAGACCACAACGTAATAACTGTTACGTTTCATTAACAGAAAAGGTTACAAAATACTGTGATGAGAACGGGGATTGGTATAAACATCCTGAGAACAATCGAACCTGGTCCAACTACACTATGTGTAATGCTTTCACTCCTGAGAAACTGAAGGTAGGTTCTATTTCACATTTCAGTATTGGGTGAGAATGCCATTATTTTTACATAGAAATGAATGCATAACTTTAAAATACCTGCTACCAAGAAGCCAACCTATTCTATAGAAGGAAATCAGATCGTGCCTGTGAGTTCTAGGGACTCTGTGAAGTTAGCATTAGAGAAAATGACATTTTACTTCTTGGTTGGCACTTGGTATCAAAGAGTTCCATGAGAATCAGGCCATTCATAACGAGGGAAATAGTGTCCATGGAAGAGAGATGGGATTCCCCATGATGCCAGATATTAGGCAGCATTTCCAGGGACTCTCTAAGATCTCTCTTCTACCGGAAGAGTCCCAAAATTACAGATCTTTTCCCCCAAGTCACAAAGTGACAGTTGCCTCCTCTTCCCTGCCCCAAGACGCCCATTATAGTCTTACTATCCAGTCTTGAAGGAACCCTTAGAATCTGGCTTCTCATCTACCTATTGATACAGGTGTGGCAGTTTAGTCCATTCTGCTTTGTTGGTATTTGTGTCTTACCATCTGTTAAATATTCATAATATCATCTCTGCTCGGAAACATTTAAGCCAATGGGAAAAACCCAGATACCTACTCTCCAAGCGCATGAGAAATCTGAAAAAAATCACTAAGCGCACAATCAGCCTCCTCTCCCCACCGTGCTGGCAGAAACGGTCAGTCAGTATTTAACCACACAGGCTATCCCTGGGCAGCCCTGGTGCTACAACGGAAACCTATTGTTTCCTTCAAAGATAGGCCTGGATGCTAAGTTATTACTAAGGTGGAAGCTAAAAGCCCATCAGTGCTTCTGTTTGCTATAGAGCAGATTTAGGAGTATAGAAAATTTTCCTTTTGTTTAAAACAAAACAAGCAAGAACAAAAAGTAAACAAGACGAATAGGTAGCTTAGAGACCAGTTGACTAGAGACCAGAGGAATATCTTGTCACAGACACAGGCTGGGGGCACCAAATCCCGTCACCTCTTCACAAATTACTTAGTCACCCCCCTGAGAATCAGATGCATGTCTACATCCTAATGGAGAGCTATTTACTTAATAAGATCTGATGGAAATTACATGTCACCAAGCAAGGAATTTCTGAATGAGTCCTGATTATGATTTTACAGAAAAAAATTATAAACCTGTTACCTGAATTGTTACAAAGAGTGCAGATCCAAATAAATAATTCTTAGTGCTGCCATATTTGACCTCACTCTGGCCATGTCTGAGAAAATAGAAATAAAGTACTTTAAGAATAAATGTTCCCCTCCAAGAACCTAACATAATGATTGAAATTCTTTGCACAAATCTTCCAGCTATATATAGGCAAAAAAAAAAAAAAAAAAAGGTGGAGAAACCAACTTAGAATTTATTTAAAAAAAAAAAAAGAAGAAGCACTTCTCAGTCTTAAGAATGACACGAAGAATGGCAACTAAATTATGAGCTGTTGGTTTAATCTTACACATTTAGACAACTTTATTTCAGAAGAATAAATATTTTTTAAAGTATTCTGGAGGCAACTGAAAGAAAATGAATTAAGTTATATAAAGTTTTCTTAGAAATAAAATATACAGAGATAAAAATAAAATAGTGACAGAGGTTAGGGGCATGGCTTGCATATCCAAATAAAAAACAGTATTTTAAATGGCAAGGGGATCTATATGGTGAACTATTTAAAAGGAAGAACTCTTAGAAAGTGCCACTCCTGGTTTTGTCTAGTGGTGAAGTTAGAAAAGTAGCCAGAAAATGAATTGGTGGGAGAAAAGACAGGAGCTGAGTATTTGTTTTCTTGCAAAGATTCCTAAATACTTTCTAAGAAAGGGAGTATCAGCTATTTTGAAGTCTTTATCAGCTCTAGCTATAAATCCACTATTCCAACTTGGTCATCATTTCTGCAAGGATAAAAAGGGTGCTGTTAGGAGAGTAGTTTATCAGTGAAAGTGGCAAATAATATGTAAATGCCCCATCAAGTGGTACAACAGCCACAATTCAGGAGACGTTGATTAGTTCATTTTGAAATTCTAACGCCTAGAAAGGCAATATTTTTTTCTGTCCAGCATTAATGCACATCACCAAACAAAAGACTCTGCAGGCTCCAAGAGCCTTTTAGCAGAATCAGTGCTTCCATATCAGGCTCTTCACAAGGAAATTGACAAGAATCAAATGTTGAAGGGTAATGCTTTGTACATAAATGCCACAATTCTCCCAGGAATTAAAAAACCTCATAGAAATTATCCAACTTACCTACACTGCATTTGTACCATATGTTCTATTGATTATTAAGTGGTATCAGCTTTTGCTTTATGCTTTATGTGGTTTGAGTTTATATTATTAGGTGAATAGAAATTAAAAATTGTTTTGTCTTCCTGACTTAACATCTCGACCTTTATGATATGATACTAGTTATCTTGTGGTTAGTGTTTACCTAGATCATCTTTTCCCGTCCTTTTATATTCAGTATTTCTGCATCCCAGTAGTTAATAATGTTTCTTATAAGCAGCACATAATTGTTTTAAAAATCATTTAGTTTTGACCAAATTATTTTAGAAAAGAGGACTACTGAGATCCAGAGGGGGGAAGTGACTGACTTATGAGAGTCACACAAAGACTTAATGATTAGTACTCCAAGTAAAGAACAGTGCTGATGAATCCAGTCTTACGTTCTTCCCACCACATCATGCATATTCTAATATAACTGGTAATCTTATAATATTTAACCTGTTAACCCCAAATACTATGATTCAATATAATTTCTCTGAAACATTTGTTATAATTTTAGTAGATTTTTTTTAAAGGATGAGAACAGTTGTTGGTTTACACTGATATTAAAAATAGAAACTATTTTCCCTCCTCTATTATCATTTATTTGCCTGTTTATTTTTATAACTGTTTTGTTGTTGTTGTTGTTCCAGAATGCATACGTTCTGTACTACTTGGCTATCGTGGGCCATTCTTTGTCGATTTTCACCTTGGTGATTTCGCTGGGGATTTTCGTGTTTTTCAAGTAAGTACCCTCATAGCATCTGCTTTTTATTTTCTTCTTTAAGGTACTGAAATAAATGGCAAACTGCAAGAGTTAGGGGAAGGGTGGTCTTCTGCAAACCACAAGAGAAATGCAGCACTGGGAGTTATGAAGTAGCAAGGAAAATGAAATTAATTAAAACATGCTTTTTAATGCTATCTCTAAGGAAAATAAGATGGATTCAGATAATTTTCAAAGGTAATATGATTCTTCCCAAAATGAAACAGTCCTGTGAGCCCATAGGTACACTGTGTTAACATGTGAAAGGCTCCACTTACCATGGCTAAGGTTGCAGGAGGTACTGAGGAGAGGCTCCTCTTCCTTCTTTCACCCTCATCCTAAAATATGGAGGCCATGGCCAGAAGCTCAAATGCACCTTGTCTAATTACGAGTTTATCATAGGTGGATTTGGCTGGAAGAGAAGTGTGGCTAGTGAGCCCAGAATAGTGTTTAGCCATAGAAGGAAGGTAAGGCTCCCTTCTGGTCCTGACTCACTCAGCTGGGACCAAGGAGAATCTCTGGAAGAAGAGTTAAGTGTCAATGTTTTGCCCTTGCAAACTGAGCATCTTCAGCCACAGTTATCTTCTAACACTCTGAAGAGTAAAATCTCAATGAGGTTTCTATTCCGAGGCCATGTCTGTGCACTTGATTGCATTACCTATGGCAAAATGATTAAGTTGGTATAAATATTGATTTTGAAATAACGGAGAATTTAAAACATTGAATCTGTTTTTTCAGGAATGACTTCATCATGCATGTGAGGTGTTAATGTATGTTAAATTCAGTCCTAGAAATGTCCTAAATTTAGTGTGATTTCTTTAAATCAAAGGCAGGAGGCACTACATTACCCTTTCATGAGAATTCTGACTAATGTCTATACTACTGGGCTGTCTCCTTCAACTAATATGTTCTTTAGTCGTGGTGGTATTATACAAATGGTCAAGAAAAGCTCCTTCATAGGCTCAGACTACAAATAATCCTCCACACTTTAAAGATGTGATAATGTAACTAAATATATAATGTAACTAAATATCCAGTGATTCATACATAGTATAACAGAATCTTAATTTGATTTTTGTTAAAATATTATCATGATACTACTAAAGAAAATTAAGCCAAGGGGAGAATCACCTGTAAGCACACCCTGAACACAACTACTATTATTATTTTTCCCTTGATCCTTTTTAATCTTTGTCTTCATCTTATACCATTATCGCATTAGGTCTATATCTTATATAGTCAAGGTTCTTACTCTGACCAAGCAATGTAACTGAATGCAATTTTTTCTTAACTGAATAATAATAAATAATAGTAAACAAATAAATAATAATTTAAATTAACATGAGCTCCTTCCATATATGGTTTAACTGGAGAAAGATAAACACAAAGCAACAGGATATAAGGGATTAATTCCTAGAATTAGAAGAGTATTTTCTATTATAATGATCAGAATGCATCAGAATAAACACATAGCATGATTAATCTTGGAATTTCTATTCATTTTTCAACTGCACTTGACCACGGTGAATAAATACATCATGATGGCTCCCATACAACTTTGATTAAAAAGTCTGTCACTAAAAATCTAACCTTTAAAATTTTTAATATAGCCATTAAAAAAATTGAAAGGAAAAAATTGAAAGAAACAGCCCCCAAATTTGTAATGGTGCAGCTAATAAATGTATGCAGGAGTTTAAAGATAAAAAAAAGTCAAGCAGACATTTCTTAGTTCTTTATTTCTGCAGTCACTTAAATAAGTGATGAGATGTGAGAGCCAAATCAGCTAAGAAAATAAGAATATTCCTTCAACACTCATTTCTGTATGAAGCCACTGAAGATGTGTGTTTAAAAGTGCAGCACATAAGTAAAGTAAAATATTTCTCAACTCCAGTTAGACCCAGAACAAAATTAATCTGGTTGAACCCTTGAGAGAATTTGGGGGCAGATTGTCTAGAAAGCATCTAATTTTGTCCTTCTGTCTCTCAATTCCAAAAGCCTACCAAACAGCAACTTAAATCTTAGGAGGAAAATCAAGTCTTATTGATTTATAATCTGAATACGGTAATGGGAAGACAGAAACTGAAATAGTTTGTTCTCCAGAGTGCACACAACCGGAGATGGTTAGGATATGAAAAACACACATGCTGAGATCTAAAAGCAGTCACATCTGATTTTTATACTTGTTCTTAATTTTATCTTAAACCTACCCAAACTAAAAATATCAAGGGCATCCGTTTTCTTCAAATTAAAGTATGAAAAAAAAATTAAAGTATGCTTCTGAATCTTCAGATTTTTTTCTGTACATTTGCATTTCATAAATATTAAGAGTGAAAAAATAAAAAAGGTAATTCTGATCTATCACTGGGTTTTATCTTTTAATTACCAATATTTTCCCAGAATTGTTTTCAAATGCTCAACATCACCCTTAAAGTCTTTACTGCATATTACAATGGAAGCTTTTATGATTTATGTGCTTAAATGGTATCATCTGTGTGAAACCTGAGCAAAAATATAATCATCACTCCCTTGCTTAATTCTACATTCCCAGGCTTGAGTTTTTCTGCAAAATCTAATCAATTTCATAAAACTTTCATGAAACCAAAATGAGAAGTTACACCCAGCTCCACTTTTGAGACCTAATGCCCCATTCATAATCATCCCATTGAAATCTCACTCTCAACTCATAAAATGTGCCTTATAGGGTCTATAAAAAGGAATAACCCTGCAGGTGTCCCCCTCAAACCAGCAGGCTAAGAAAGCCTGCAGAGGAATTTAAAGTTACTAAATATATGGGAGGCTGTGGAACTGCCAATACTTTGCTGCTAAAAATCTAGGAAATTACTCATATATATACTCATTTTCTTTGCAGGAAAAAAATAGTTAGGAGCAACAATACAGAGAGGGATTAAATAGAAACATCAAATTTATTCAGCAAGACTCCTCACTACTAGATGCCAATAGTAAATGTCAACAAGAGAGTTAAGATGAAGATACCCTTAGGGAAGACTGTCTTGAGAAAGTCACATAAGTGGCCATTTATTTGTGTTTGTTCCCTGACCATTTAAGCAAGTTTGCAATTAAATTCACTTATCCCATCAGTTCCACTTAGAATGTATCAATTGACATTTCTGTGGAATCGTCCTAAATTACTAAAACATCTCACTGTTTTCTCTCAAGAAAGCACCACAATCGAACATTCATTAACATCCATTTTGACTACTTGATACTCATGCCTTACTGATTGTTAAATTTTGAATATTAATTACTCTTGCCTGAAAATGAATAGAGATGTACGTTGGAAGGCAGGGGGTGTCTTTATTGCCTTGCATTGTCTATGTTACATTACATTAGCCATACCAGCACAAAAGAAGGATTTCCACAGGGACCTCCAGAAGCAATACTGATTCCTCTCTACTCACGCAGTATGCCCTAGTATTCTCTGTCACATCCACATAGTGGATGGAGAGATAACACTTTATCTTGTACTTGTATAGTAGCCACTATTCTACATCTCTGGTTGCCTTCCTATTGCTCCAGAAAAACCACTAAATCAATGGCACCAAAGATAGCTAGCCTCCTTTCGCCCAACCCAACCCCTGACATGACTGGACACAAAAGATAACTCTCACTCACGTCTTAGCAAACTGTTCACTCATAGAACAGAAGTAATAGGAAAAGAAGCAAGAATTATGATTGAAAAGGAGTTCCTTAAGGATAAGGATTTTGTGCTAAATTCAAAGGTATAAAGTCTCTTGTCAGAGAGGAAAGATGTATAAGATATTGGGTTTCTAGGTAAAGGAAAGCTACAACTGCTTGTACCAGTCACAGCAGTTATACCAACGCGTATTTTTGCATGCACCAGTAAACTCAAAACAACTTTTACTTATTTTATTACTTGCTTCTTTCCTTATTTACTTTGAATGTGACTATCGAAACTACTTTGAATGTGACTTCGAAATGAATGTTCAATTTCAAAGTATTGAAAGTCACATTCAAAGAAATCCTTCTTTTGTGCTGGTATGGCTAATGTAATGTTAACAGAGACAATGCAAGGCAATAAAGACACCCCCTGCCTTCCAACATACATCTCTATTCATTTTACAGTCTTATAAAGAACTGAACACTGCTGTTCCTTATGCTGTGATATCAAACTGGTTTATGCAATCTGCAAAACTCAAGGCAAATATTCAATGCCTCCTCAACTACAAGCTCCCCCAAATCACACACATACATACATACATAGGCTCCCAATTACTTGAAACATTTTTTAGTGTGGAAGATTTACACCAGGTAAACTAAAACCATGAAAATAACATTTAGTTTTAGCCTTAAAATATGGCATCTTGAGATTCATACCTAAGTAAATCATTATCTCTTCCTCACATATGAGTGACACTTTGGTTGGGCCAAGACAGAAGTAGATTATGTTGTCTTATCCTGCTATTAGAGAATCTATAGTACTTGGGGTTCCCTGTCATTCAAAAAGGAAGCAATGTTCGGTCTATCTAAATACCTATTTCTTTTCATCAAGAGGAATGAAGTATAGCTAACATCAGGTTTGTGCTATTTTCTACTTAAGACATTTCAGATCTGACAGATCATGTTCATTCAAGCAACAAGACATTTGCACTGAGAACAACTGAATACCTAATTACTTATGTTAAGTTCAGTTAATCTCTTTAGCATCCTATACCTCTCCTTCAGAACAGTTATCCTAATAAGAATAAATAAACAATTATGTAGCATACAAGGTCCCTGTAAACAGAAGCTGTCTGTTTTGTTCACCCATATATCCCTAGCATCTACCAGAAGGTCTGAATCATACGGTAATGTGTGTTGGATTATTAAATGGGTACACAGTAATATGTGTTGGATTACTGAATGAATTTTAATAAACTTAAAGTACCTCTAACTTGCTTCAAAAAGCTGAGTGTAAATGTCATCAAGTAAGTGTAATAAAATTTTTTAAACTCAATAAGCAGAAATTATATTGAAACTTCAAGACACAGAAACTCATATTCTATACTAGTCATATTCTTCCTTTGGAGACTAACAGTTTATCTGGCTTTAAACCAGATAATTTTCTCATTATGTACATAATACTGCACTGGATATAGGTTTTCCCTACTGTTGAACAACAGCATAATGTCCAATATTAGTTAGCTAATACCTATAGCAAGAACTTGGCAAATGTTCAGTATGATACAAAGTATAAGGTATGAGACAATCTAGCATTTAATGTAATTTTCTGATGTACTGGAAACCTGTTTACTGGTCACAGCTTGAAGAAGAAAACCACTCTTATGTAAAGATTTTTAATTTAAAAACATGAGTATCAAACCCTGCAAGGCATCAGACACTCTTCTAGGTGGACAAAACAAATTCCTTTAGCACCCCCACTCTGGTGAGAAAAAAAGAGAAAATAAGAGTCAATAAACAGATAGATGTTATGTCAGGAGGTGGTGTTAAGAGCAAAACATAATAAAGCAGGGATAAAAGGGCCAGGGAGTAATAAGCTAGCAGCAGAGGAAGTATATTTTTGATTTACACACTAGATTGAGCATTAACCAGTCCTTTAAACTGATGTCGTACACCGGCAGATTATTGAACTCTACCTAGTTAAAAGAAAACCAGGCACGAGAATAGTGGCACTGTTTGATGCATTCATCCATACTCTTTTTTTTTTTTAAGTTTTTTTAATTTATTTATTTGACAGAGACACAGCAAGAGAGGGAACACAAGCAGGGGGAGCGGGAGAGGAGAAGCAGGCTTCCCGCTGAGCAGGGAGCCTGATGCAGGGCTGGATCCTAGGACCCTGGGATCATGACCTGAGCTGAAGGCAGACACTTAACGACTGAGCCACCCAGGCGCCCCCCTCCATACTCTTTAGTTCTGTATAATGTCAACTGTTGTTGGTTTAAGCCAGGCTGAATCCAATAATGAGACCACAGATATTTGCCCCCCAGTGAGAAGAACTATAAAATGCCGTATGACTCTATGGAAAATGGCAGGTCACAGGTTTAATGTAGCAGTTGGAATATTGAAGAGTTTATGCAATATAAATGGGTATGATGTTTCACATAAATAATTTTTTCTTTTTAAAGCCTTAAGTTTGCAACCTACTTTTAGAGTACTATTATAAAACCAATTAGGTTTGGTTTATTTAACAGAGCTTTCTGCTGCCAAAGAAAGTAGTACATGGATGTGTGTGTGCGTGTGTGTGTGTGTGTGTGTGTGTGTGGAAGTTCTTCTCTAAACCCTTCCTGGATATAAAGTTCTGCATTCTATCCCTACTCAACAAGTTGCAAATTTTAAAATATTCTGTATTAACAATTTATTAATGGTTTTACTTCCTGAAAGTTGAAAGATGTAGCTACAATAATCAAAATATGCTCTAACAGATGCCCTCATTACTGAAATCTACTTTTTACTACAGATAATTGCATTTTCTTTTGATTTGAAATTTAGGAAAGCATTGTAAATAAACCCAGACCATTCTCATACTTCATCTTTCCCCAGAATTCCCTTTTCAAAATTCCTGGAATCCTAACTTTCTTCCATGAAGATTTTTTAGGAATAGTTACTGTGATCAATCATTGGCATCATTAACTGAATGTTTTAAATTTTCACATTATGTTAAACCTTTTTTGACTGGATCAATTATGGTAAATGCAAGATTTTTGTTCATCAAGGATAATCATTCCAATTTTGTTGTAGCCATCCTGCAGGGCTCTCTCCATTTGCATCAAAAAGTGAAATAGAATATTCAAACTAATGTTTATTTATGTGCTCATTCACACAAATACATATGTACAAGCTTATGAAGTGGAGGAGCAAGGAATGAAAAATCCAACAAATTGTTTAGTATCCAAAAGGTGGGAAATGGCTATGACAACAAGCAGCAGCACTTGGATGGGTTTCATCAGATGCAAACCACAATATGCCTCATAATGAGATCAAATATGAGCCTATTTAGAATTCTCTGACTGTGTCTCAGCTCCACCATCAGGAGGATGTGGAAAGGGAGAATCACAGAGTTGATTCTAGTTGGAATATGAGAAATAAGATGTTAGAAGAAATGGCAAAAGAGAAGAATGACAGAGACTTAATGAAGTCTGGGATGGGTCGAGGACACAAATTCAGTACTTTGTCAAGGGCAGCCTTGGTTCTGACTTCATGCTCTGTTATCCCATTTGCCACATGATTTCTGCCTGGTTACATCAATGAATATTCAACTTTTCATCTGAAGCACACTCCAAACCCTAATGGTTTCTCTTGTAAGAGTCCTTCTCTTAATTAATTTCACGACATTTGTTATAATTAAAAGTGATTTTATCACTCACTCTTTCAGTTATTGTATGAAGTCACCCTGAGGACTGAAAACTATGAGCTACCGTGACTGGAAAACTGTTTGTAAAAATCAGGCAGTAAAGTGGTAATGAGTCTTAAAGATGGGACCAGCCTCACTTATTCCTATAGGTCTCTCACTGATTGCTAAAGGAAATATTACAAATATTACCAAAATATTTTTTTTCCAGGTCCTTCCACATTTTGGCACTGGTTAATGCTTTCTATTACATTTTCTTCCAGGAGCCTTGGCTGCCAGAGGGTGACTCTGCACAAGAACATGTTTCTGACTTACATTCTGAATTCTATGATTATCATCATCCACCTGGTTGAAGTCGTACCCAATGGAGAGCTTGTGAGAAGGGATCCGGTAAGCATTGCATGACTTGCTTGTGATTTACTCTTAAAGACATAGTCCCCATAAATAGTGAACATGCTGCTGTTGTCTGACTTAAACAGCTATTTACATGTGTGATCGGATTTACTTTTACAGTGGAATTTTGCATAAGGCATGGTGTGTCATTTCTATACAGGTATCGGAAGTAATTGCTATATGCAGTAGTAATGGGTTGGGAATAATTCAATCATAACCAAATAAGAATTATACAACAAATCATGACTTTTTACTACTACTCAAAAAATGTATTCACATCTATGGGAAATTTACTGAGCACATCTTGTGAACATAGGCAGTACGAGGTGTACTAAGGCAGTGCCTCAGTGTGTCACTAATGGGTTACAGGTAAGCCTACACAGGAATGCCCTTAGCGTCCTGGCACTGGACTGGGCTTGTGCCAGTCAACTGAGCTATGAGTAGCTATGCATTTACTCTGGTAAGCCATATAAATACTGTCTTGAGTTGAAAAAGATTTAAATACCCCGAGCTCACTCACTCTCATCTCCCAGTCTCTGCTGATGATCCCCATTAACTTAGCTTAGCCATAAATCAGAGGGCAAGGAAACCCTGATGGAGATGTACAGATGGGTTTCTCTGGGCCCAGGGTGGTGGGAGCAGGGTGGAGAGTGCATTTGAAAGCACAAACAGAAGCTATCTAGCACACAATGAATGACCAAGGGATATTTTCATTTGTGTTTCTCTGCTTAACTATGTTATGCAAGCATCTGTAGATAGCCTCATCTTTCAAAACTGGCATTTGACAGCTCTGCCAACCCAAAGACAAAAATGCGTGAAATCTGCCCAGAGCATGCATCCTGCGTGACAGTGGCATGGCATGGGAAAGCAGCTTAATTTGGCTTCTAATGAATCCACAGTGTTAATACTTTTTGCAGTGTGAATATATCCAGAAGGATATTATGGGTCATCTTCTAAAACCATGGCATCTATTATCTGAGACAGTCTTATCTTACCTGCAGAATGTGATCCAATGCGTTTATCTTGATGAGTTTTCTTTTTTAATGTCAACTGATTTTAATAAAAATAATTTCATTTCATCTAGTCTTCCCAAGACCCCAGCAAAGAATGGATATTATTCCTATTATTAACTGAGAAAACTGAGGATCAGTGAAGGGACAGGTCCTCTGTACTGTGGTTATTTAGGGGTGGGATTCAAACCCAGACATGTCTCACTCAGAAGCCCACCCTCTCTTCTATATACCACATTGTGCCCTTGCTTTATTTCCTTAGGAAGATGTGTTCTTAAAGAAATGGGCTCAATCAAAAAAAAAGAAATCTTGCCATTTGTAACAATGTGGATGGAACTAGAGAGTATTATGCTAAGCGAAATAAGTTAATCAGAGAAAGACAATTATCATATGATCTCACTCATATGTGGAATTTAAGAAACAAAACAGAGGATCATAGGGGAAGAGAGGATAAATAAAACAAGATGAAATCAGAGAGGGAGACAAACCATAAGAGACTCTTAATCATAGGAAACAAACTGAGGGTTGCTAGAGGGGGGCTGGGTGGGGGGATTGGGTAACTGGGTGATGGACATTAAGGAGGGCACGTGATGTAATGAATACTGGGTATTATATAAGACTGATGAATCACTGACCTCTACCTCTGAAACCAATAATACATGTTAGTTGAATTTAAATTTTTAAAAAAGTAAAAAAAAATAAAGAAAGAAATGGGCTGAACCATTCCAAAGTGGCAATTGTCCATATTTGGATACATACATTAGGGAAGCTGACTCCTATTAAGTGGTAGAAGCAATTAACTAAGCATTTCTCAGCAGAAAAGACTCAAATTTTTGGTTTCCCATATCCCATTAAGTGTGGAAATCCTTAAAAAGCTACTACTGTATGGAGGAGGCCAGGAAATGGCACTTTAGTCATTAAAGAATCAATGCAGTGCTCAGTCACAGTATAAAGTATTGTAAATTCTTGAGTAGGCTCTCTCCCATCACTCTTGTGGGGGTATCATACCCACGTGTCATTCCATCAGCCCACTCTCTAGAGGCTTGTAGGGTGAAGGGGGCTTCTCTTCCATTGCAAGACCATACCAAACCTACTATCTTCCCTAATAGTCTAAATTCAGGATTTCTCTGGATTTGCTATTGAAATACAGAAGCCATTTAACCTTATCCATCAACAAGAAAAATAAAAACTGCCCTGTTTACTTCCAAGAGCTTGTCCTGGAGTCCCAAAAGAAGCATAAAGCTTTTAAAAATTCCCAAGGGCACAATATTGCAAATGATTGCTCACAGCGTTGCTGCTAACTCTTGCCCTATAACTAACGCCCTTGGTCTCTGCACTTGGCTTCCCTAACTCATCCATTAGTCGACTCATTGCTCTTAACAGTCTCATGAGTTATCATCACTGGATGTTTTCACGTTCATAGGACACTTTAGGGGCAGACGTGCCTATATACTTTGCCAGTCACCATGCACAGACTGCCTCCTAGCCACCACCAGTTCAACCCTGCTCTGCCTTGCAGCTTCTCTATTGCCTGGAAACCTATACTAAAGCCTCTAAGCAGATGTCTAGGGACCCAGTTCAACTACTATGCAGCTGATCTCCTGGGAGAATGTAAGTGTGAGCATAGAGGAGCCAGAGAAATTAAGAGGAAGCTTTCTTATGGAGGAGTGAGGGTGGCTCTGTTGCACACATTAGGCACTCTCAAAGTGATCTAAGTTTGAAAATCAGGAAAGAAGCTTATCTTTATGGCATGACTAGGACGTGGTTCTGCCAATCAATATATTGTTAACCTAACAGACTTATTACTTTTAGCTATCCAAGAACACACTTCCTAGGGAAAAATTGTAAAATCTTGAAAGGCAGAATTTAATCCAATCAATCAAGTGTTTATTGAGTGCCCCAAACTCAAATTTTAGGCTTTAAGCTGAACTGAATTCATAGAATTTGGGAAACATAGCTATTTATGACAATCCCTAGAAATGGATCACACCTCATGTGGAAACGGTTTCCTATGTCTCGCAACCATACATGGGGGGTTCAGCCCTTTGTTTACCTATTTCCAAGTGTTTGCAAGATTTTTTTTAACGGAAAACAAAGGAGCAAAAAGACTGTGTGCCTGAAAGAGAAGCCTCATTCCTCTGAGGACAGACCAAATGAGAATACACCACCAATAATAAGCCACTGACAGTGGGAAACAGGGAACGGTCATAATGTGTGAACACCCTGTGCCCTCTTTCACATTTCCAAAAGTCTTTTTATTCCGTAAGACAAAATTTGGAAATTTGCACCTTTTACCAAATACGTATAAATAGTGTCGGCTAAAAAGAAATGGCTCCAATGACAAAAATTAAATCATGTTTGTAAGCTGTGAAGCGTAATGCACTTGGCCCCGCAAAACTAGGTCATTTGTGTTTAGTATGTTTTCTATTTGCAACAGTTATTGTTTTCCAGCGAGATCTTACTAAATCTCTTCTCTAACTCTCCGTATGCAAACAACACAGGGCTGCTCTGTCTAAGCAAAGTTAGTTCAAGAAAGGGCAAGAAAGAACCCTCAAGTAGGACATGTCTTATATGTTATTCATCCTTGAAACTGCTTATTTCCAAAAGAGACACAATCTTGAAATCTGTGTTGTAGCTCACCTTGAAAATACATATTCTGTTATGAATGCGTTCATAGAAGCCCAATTTATTAAGTATCGTTTCCCATCCAGAAGACTCTGAAAGTGAACTGCAGTTGAAACTATAAATTCAGGCATCAAGAAAGGAGAAATTTTCCCTGTTGTAATATATTTAAATTTATAGGGGATAAACAAGAAGTAGGAAAAGTTTAAGTAGGAAATCCCCATCTTTCCTAAGAGTAAAGTTCTCTACCTCTAAAGAGACAGACAAAATAACATCTCAACACTGAGAATCAGGTCATCAATATATTACTAAGTCACATGGAAAATTATATATTTAAAATTTACTTTAAATGAATTATTTGAAATATTGCATTTTTCTTGAAAAAGTGACATTCCAGAAAACTTAGATTAAGGTTCTCCATAGCCAAGAAGAGTGGAGATGATAAAGAAAAACCCAAGAAAAGGCCAAAAAATAAAAAAAAACCCACAGCAAATTTTTGAAAAAGGGTAGTTATTGGACATTGTCAATTACAAATATCGATTGAAATTACAACTAACAAAAAATATATAACTGAGGCCATAAATTAAAGCATATTTATCAGCATTCCATTTACCTGTGATTCAGGTATGTGTCTCCTTTAAAAAATA